ATTGCTAAGGGTGGAGATGGCGAGACCGTTGATGACTTACCCGAAGGGGATATTGTTAGAAAGAGTATTGGTCTCGATTGGATGCTGCCGCCAACCCAAAAGACTGATCCAAACACTACTTTAGATGTAGAGGAAAATTTGGAGGAAAGTACACCTGAAGAGGTGAGGGAATTTTGATTTGGAGTTTCTATCTAATTAATCCAAATTTAGATGGTTAGTTAACAAATACTTCTTTTTTTTTATCGACCAGGTAATTAAAGTAAACCCAAGGGAACTAAACCCTTATATGAAAGGCAATGGATCTGGTTATCCAGAGGAAGAATCTGAGAAAAGATATGGTAAAGATCATCTTTTATCAACTTCTGTTGTTGGAGATGGGGGTGCGAGTTGGAGAATGAAAGCACTCAAGCGTGCAAAGGAACAGGCTGCGAGAGAAGGGCAAAGGCTTGAGGATGTAAGTTTCGTTATTAATTTTGGTGTTATGATTTAGCATAGTCTCTTTGGCTTTTGAGTATTGCCTTATCATTTGAGGGTTATGCAGGTTGCTGGAGAACGATATGGATCTCTTGGTAACCTTGTTGAGTCTGTGGCAGCTCAAAGAGCAGCTCCATCTCGTGCCCATTTGAATGCCATAAATAATAGAAGAAGAGAGAAAAATGAAGAGAATGATAAAGACAAAAAACCAGAAAGAATTTCTGAGAAGGTATTTGAACCGTTTATGTTGCTTCTGATGTGCTTTAAGGTTACCACTGTTTCAGATTGGGAATTGTGATGGCGAATATTCTGACTTCGTGACGTGTTTTATTTAAAGGGTAATGGTCGGGAGTATTTGAAGGATGACTCGCTGCGTCATCGTGTATTGAGAGCCCCCAAAACTGACCCTTTGTTGTCCTGGGGAAAGAGAAAGAATCAAACTCATAGAAATGAAGACTCGAGGCTGATATCTGAAGCTGCTGCTCACTTAAATAAATTTTCCAATGATGGAAACTTCATGAAAGAAATGCTTTCTAAGCAGAAGAATGAATCAGTGTCTCTCGTAGAGACTCGTGGAGATCACAGAAGCGACGTAGAGCAGAGTACACCGTCGGAGACCAATAAGGATGGTGAAGGGACTCTTCCCAGTAGGGAAACTTTAAGTGTGAATAAGCTAGCTGCTAAAGCCATACAGCTCCGTATAAAAGGGAAACCTGAAGAAGCCCAGAAACTTATGGTGAGACTAACATCTTTTTTCGTCCACATCATTATCTCGGCTTCTGCTTGAGTCCACATAATATAGTCAGCTATTTTACCTTCTTTCTTCTGAAATTCACAGGAAGAAATAGATAGGCTGAAAGCAAAGCAAGATATTGGAGATGCTCCATCGAAAGAACCCTGCATCAGAACTGCATCAAGGTAAGTTTACTTTTATCTCTGAGTTGTTTGGGACTTTTCTTTATATGTCAAAAGTATGTTCTGATTTGATAATTACTTCTCTTTCTTACTCATTAGATATCCTGTCAAAGACATGTCGGGTAGAAGGAAGAAGGAAGATGATAACACAGATATGCATCTTGCCAAAAGCATAATGCAGAACAAACAGTACAAAACATCTAATCAAGCTGCTGATGATGAGTATGACTATGGAGACGCTCCGAGCAAGAAGTCACGGAAGCGGGAATCGTCCAGTAACATTCCTGAAAGGGAAAACCGCGTGAAACGCATCATGACTCAGCAAGAGCGTTGTCTCTTCTGTTTTGAGAACCCAAAGCGGCCGAAACACTTAGTTGTGTCAATTGCAAACTTCACCTATCTGATGTTACCACAACATCAGCCCCTTGTACCAGGCCATTGCTGTATCTTACCAATGCAGGTATATATTTTTACATCTAAAAAGACTCTGTATCTGTATATGACCTTTATGTGTTTCTTGTATTGATGAGAGTTCTTGAACGCACAGCACGAGGCGGCGAGCAGAAGTGTTGACGACAACGTCTGGGACGAGATCCGTAATTTCAAAAAGTGTCTTATAATGATGTATGCGAAAGAAGGAAAAGATGCTGTGTTTCTGGAGACGGTGATTGGCTTGTCTCAGCAGCGTCGACACTGTTTGATCGAGTGTATCCCGATACCTCAGGAGATAGCAAAAGAAGGTCCTCTTTACTTCAAGAAGGCGATTGATGAAGCTGAGAGTGAGTGGAGTCAGCACAATGCAAAGAAGCTTATTGACACAAGCGTGAAGGGTCTGAGGAACTCTATTCCAAAGAATTTCCCATACTTCCACGTTGAGTTTGGTCTAGACAAAGGATTTGCTCACGTGATTGATGATGAGCAGCAGTTCAACAGCAACCTTGGACTGAATGTAATCAGAGGAATGCTTGAGTTGCCGGAGGAAGACATGTACAGAAGAAGAAGGCAGGAGTCGGTAGAGAGCCAAAAGAAGGCGGTTGTGAGCTTTGCACGCGAATGGGAACACTTTGATTGGACGAAACAGCTCGACTAGAAAGGTAGCCCATCATCTAATGCTCAACAGAAGGATTTCTTGAAAAGCAAAAGCACAGACGAAAAGTAAGGAATGCAAAAGCACTGTTAGTCTTTAAATGTGAACCGGGTCTGTGTATTTCATGCCGGTTACGCGACCTTAATTATCCAAGTTTTGGATAAGAGACTTGCATGTTTGAGTCAAGGGAATTCTGTAAAATCTGAAATGAGATCATAGCCAAATCACGAGAGAGAATAATATTTCGTGACTGGAGCATGTAGGAAGCAAAAAGTAACATTGTAACACGCGTCCAAAAAGATATTCCAATGACTCGAACTAGTTGTAGTTGTAGTTGGTTTTGCAAAGATATTCTATTTTTATGGCCTT